AAGGCAAATAAAATAGGCAAATGTGGAGACTGAATGGGTAAACATGTATTGAGGTTTTAGGTAACAACTTTACCTATTTATATACTAAAATGGAAGCTCAATGGAGACCGGGTTTTCATCTGTTTTGCTCATTGTTTTATCCCACTAACACAGCATAGAGCTTGTCACTTGCTTGGGGTCTCCATAAAAATTTATTGAATAAATCCATGTGTATATGAATCAATGGAGCCTCATTTACACTCCCCATATCACCACCACACACATATTTCTTAGTACTTACAATGGAAGAAGTTGTAGATTTTTTGTTTGACATTAAACATATATATGCATATTTATTCAAATTTGCTGTTTAGGTTATGTTGACTGAAGAAGACCAGTTTTCAAAGAGATTCATATTTTTTATGAAAGTGTAACTGGTTAAATATAATCCTAAGTATCAAGATTTTCCAAAGCACTGAAAAAATTTTCTATTTTTTTTTCCTTGCTTTAAGTTACTGAGAATATAAGAATAGGAGAATATAAACCTTAAGTGTTCCTTAACTGTTTATAGAGAGTGAAAACAGACTTTAACCAAAAACTCTCTTTAAAATCTCCTGCGTATACGTTCTAAGGGAACTTCAAAGAAATGGCTTGACAGAAGCAAAACTTTTCAAATGTCGTGACATTAACAAGATTATCTTGGAAATATTGAATATTTGTTGAATAATTACAAGTTCTCCACTCTCAAAGATCTTTAAAAGAAAATCATTTAAATTAATAAAGATGCAATGAACAAGTATGTGTAGTGTGTGCTAAATGCCCACATATAGAATTTATAAGGAAATGCAAAGAACTTGGTCAGTGAGAAAAATATATCCTTTTAAAAATAAATAAATAAGAGTTTCCCCCTGTTTTGCACCACTGTGGCTTCACCTCTAAAGTGTTTGAATAGTTTCTCCACTGCCAATTTTTTTATTTTAAAGTATTGATATTTTAATTAAAAAATTACTGTAGAACATGTCCTGAATAAAGTACTTTAATTACTGTCCCTCATTGTTATTAAACTTGCACTAACTTATAAAACTTGCATAAACTAGTAAAAGAGTTATGAGAAAACAATGTGGTACCTATGACATTCAATGTAAGTAGATATTTGTTTAAATCACTTACATAACTTGAGAATTGTTCTCTCTCCAATAATTTAGATGTCAGGAAAGTCAATAGCAACTAATCATTTTCCCTCATTCAGAACTGGGAAAAGCTTGAAAAAAATATAAAGCTTACTATGATGCTGACATCAATGCTGGACTAAATCATCACTTATTTATTATTCTGTCTTATAAACATATCAAAGCAGAAAACCTCTAGGCTCGTAGACAATAAAATATCTCAACATTAAAACTAAATAATAAAACGTCAAAGATAAGAGATGGATAAACCCACACAGACATGTCTCTTCTATGGCCTAGGAAAATATCTATCTAAACAAGTAGATTTTGCACAGCATTAATCCAATCCCATTCCCTGAATCTACACATTCTAATAGAAACTAGAGCTAGACTTGATTTGTCTTTCCTTGCATTACTAGAGCAAATTAGTATTTGTAAAGTTTGTCATATGGGATTTCCTTCATAGGAAAGTCTCTGAGAACATATTTCACAAATGCCAATCTGAATTATAAAATACATTCAAAAGTTGGTGTTTTTGTCATTTAAAGGCTTCTGGAAGTCTCTATGCTATTAATGATGTTACATGTGCTTTTGAACCCAAAGTTCAAAAAACGTTAATGTCTATATTTTTTTCTAGCAACATATTCTAATAAGAAATTTCTATTCCTTCAGAAATGATTTCTCAAAAAGAGTAGAAGAGGTCAGACAATAACCCTGCTCTTTCACTCTTAATCACCAGAGATAAGACAACATAGAACGGGGTCATTTTATCTACAGGTTCATTATAGCTTGCCTTTGTATCTAAGTCCCATGAGTATAGAAAATGTGGCAAATTAATATATATACTAGCTTGGCTGATTTCACAGAATGAATTAGCTACATGTTCAAAAAAATGTACTGGTCCACCTGGTAAAAAGTGTTCTGTAAGTAGACACACACGGAGCCTTTGTTTTCTGGAGCCACATAGCTTCATGGCAGTGTATACAGCCAAATATCATTAAAAAACCGTTACTATCAAGCTTGACTATGCTATTTTAAAATAGTGAACAAATTAACATTTCAACTGAAGCAGATTGAGCCTCCATGATGTCATCCTAAGTACTCACTGTTTTCTAAACCTCCATCCAGTTCATCAAGCTGCTACATGAAACACCCCCTGCCATCCTGGCAGGGACTTGGGGGAGGCTCGTCAGAATCTTAGGGAAAGAAGCGATGCCATGTGCTTTTCCACCCTGAAGTTGCCATCGTGGCTGCTAAAAGGGAAAGTGAAGAGAAGCAAGTTAGCTGGTAGCAAAAAAAATCACTTCTTGGGGAGGTGAAAGTCATGGGCCAAGGATATAGTAGAGTCGCGAATTCCAAGAATCTTTGAAAAATGATGTGAATTTCCTATAATGGGGTCGAGGAGGAGATGAACTCAGGTCTTCCGTCGGCTGCCATTCTCCAAACACAGACCAAGTTCTCTTCCTTGGAATGTCATGGCACCCACTGCCACCAATTTCTGAGGAAATCACAAAGCCTTGTATGGATAAATTGCTCCACTTATAATTTGACCCAAACTTCTGCTATAGCTGACTTTTGAAACGCTCCATTTAGTTAAGAAAATTTCATATAGAAAAACAAAGAAATTCTCATTCAGGAAAAAGGCTGACTTTTACCCCAAATCTTAAAGTTGGGTTCTTGTGAAGATACAAATTAAGCAGAGTGGAAATTCATATCTTTGGCTAAAAGCACAAAAATGTACTGCCTGTTCTGAAGCCTATTCCTTCTGTCATGCTCTTAATCAAGCCCCACAGCCTATGGGAACTGACAAAGAGTGGGTAACAGAGTGGCTGTGGTCAGTGTCGTTGGAAAGAGCCTTCAGATCACAAGATTAAATGTAACTTCTTCAAGGCAGGGGAGAAAAAGCTGACAATACATGAAGAGGCACAATATGATGTTTTTCACTTTTAAAAATAACTGCACTAAATGTCCATTAATTTTAACCTGCTCTGTCCTTAGTCTATCATAAAGATAATTTAAACATTGCTTGGAAAACAAAGAGATCCTTGAGGTGAACAAATTGCACATAATCGTAAAGCACAACACTGCATATATTAATATTACTATTTAGACATCCTTGAGTACAATATGCCCAAAAGGTAATTTGTAATATATGACTTTGTAATATACTCTGGCTTAAATGCAAATAAAATGATGCATTGAAGGACACAATAATGGTGCTCAAGTGCAGGATGTTGTATTACATAAATTTATCAGGCACACAAGATTGGTGTAACCAGCACAATTGCCAACTTGTATCTGGGGAGTAGTACTCTATGTATTGTGCAATAAACATTATACAGCACAATAAATGAAGCAAAATAGCTGGGAAAATATGTGAAAGGAAAGAGCTGAGAAAGGATTATAAAATATCTTTATGAACATTAGCATAAGTGATGGGCCACAATTTTCCAGCTTTTTTCTTCTGACAAATTGTCTATATAGTAATATTTTCATGATACACTATCATTTAAAAACATACTGCACAAACCGTATACCTGTGAAATCTATAGTTTCTTTTGTCAGGTTTGTTGCTGTTATTCAGTACATGTCAAGTATGCTAGTTAGGTGGTAAATTTATAGCGTATACAGTAACTGGATTTCCTAAACACCCTCCCTTAGAAAAACAAAATGAAATATAATACCACTGAGAAACCCTGGAACACACATTCTGTTATTTTGAGCTAGTGAGCAGAGCTTTCCTTGCTTTCTGAAACATCTGCCCATTGGACCAGTCCTGTGTGATAGAAAAACCCTTACGATTATTACATCATTTATTTCGTGCTCATTGTGGCTTGGGTTTATATTTCCCCATTGTCTACATAATCTTTCCAAAAGTAGAAATTTTGCATCTCAGCTTTTTCCAGCACTGATTCTTTTTCTAAGAATCTCTAGATTTGGTAATTTATTTGTTATTTTCGAAGAACTTATTGCAGTGTTTTCATTGTTCGCTATTTTTTTCCTTTTGTTTTCACTATTTGCTTTTTCCTTGATATTGGCAAACTCATTTGATTTTGTTCTCTCAGGCATGTGTTCTGATCTCCCCCCTTAATTATGGAGGGGGAGGGGTTAATAGCTATTAGTAGATATATTTCCCTTCCAGAATCTGAGCTAGCTTTTAAAATTTGTTTTCCCTCCCTTAATTTATAAATATTTTAATCAATAATGTATCTATTATTTCCCAAGTGAGCCCTAAGGAGTGTGTTTGATGGCCTCACACAAGCCATTCCAAGAGAACAGCCTCTCTCAAGCAGCTGACACCACTGAGCCTTGCTAGTTTCTCCCTCTCCCGAGTCCCTATATTTTTAGGCTAGCCAGCAACGGTGGGCTCACTCCATCTCCAAACCAATGAAATTGATGCGTTGTGCAAGTCCCCTCACTGGCTTTTGCTGAACTTGCATTGCATCACCCGTTGCACATTCAGTCAGAAGCTAGCCTGGAACAAAAAGCCAGTCATCAGAGAAAATGACTGTCTGTCCCCAATGTTGTAATTGCACTCAATCAGCAAGTACCAGCTCTGCATCAATAATTAGATAAGGGTCCGATAATTATGTTGGCAATGAAACAGCATAGTCAAAATTTCAGTGATTTCATGAAGTGATTGTCCAAGAGTTGAAATCAATGTTTAAGCCTGATGTTCCCCCTCCCCTTACCCATAATGTCACAGATGATTGAGAACCGGTGCCCTTTGTATTGTTTGGAATATTCCCTTCCAGTTGTTGCGTCTCATGCCAACTAAAGAACTACACTTGCTTTCATATATGACATACTTGCTTTTAAAAATCTAATTAAAACTTTCTTTTGGGTCCTTAGGTAGAAAGATGGCTCTGCTGAGATGAGCTCTTAATTAATGCACTGAGAGGCTGCGAGTCCCACCTCTCAACAGGAATGATTGACGTCCAAGGATACATAAATTACACTAATTGAGCTCTGCCTCTACATAGGTTTTCCACAGCCAACTCATCAGAGAAGCTAGGTGAGTAGACCAGCATAAAAAGTTACTTCAATATGTTCTATGCTTACCCAAGGGGTAGAAGAGGAACTTTCCAGACTGTTGCGCATTTATTATCACAGAAGGCAGTTCTTTTCTTCAATTTTAAGGCGTAGGTTTTGTGTTGTAGGGTTTTTTTAAATTATAAAAATTAACATTTTTAACATAATCATTTAAATTTAAGCAATCCTCTTCTCTTCACAATTTTCAGGCAGCACAACTTGCAAGCCAATTACAGTGTGCAGAAATCATTTGGCATCATTTGTTGATATTAAATTGTGTTGCATAGCAACCAATGCATATGCTATGGAGGGATTGTTTGAAATCAAATCCAATTTCAGTCCCTGAATTTAGTTCTCAGAGATTTACCTAACTGTAAACACACCTAATCCCCAGGCTCAGCCAAAGACCATACTGAAATGTTTCTTTTTTATTTCATTCTGAAAGAAATGCATAGGTATTCTAATGCTCTTGCTTCCATGAAATCTAATAAACCACTTAGTATAATCTAGGTGATTTATTAGTCTAAAATAAAATTCAGAGACAGGGCTATTTGCTAAAAATGAATACAATTATACTTCATTGGATTTCCCCATTTGTATCTTGAAGTTTTTAATGATAGATGTTTTGTAAAGTCCTGAACAATTATGAAAAACCTACTGTTTCAATAATAATTAAGAAAAATAGAAATAATATGAGAAGTTCAGGATACTAAATTAATTATTTGACATGCATCGCTAAAAATGTATTCTTATTCAGACTAAATATAAATAGGACTTGAGTTTTACCATATAAAAATTTAAAAGCCGAGAGTAAGGGGATGAAGACCACAAAGAACACCAGATTAAGAAAGTATTAAGCAGAAAGTGATACAACAAAATGAATAGAAGTGGAAAAAGCAAATGGTGAAAACAAAAGGAAAAAAATACCAAACAATAGAAACTCTACAGTAAATCTTGGAAATAATAAGTAAGTGACCAAACCTAAACATTCCACAAAAAAAAAAAACAAAAAAAAAACAGCACTGGAAAAAAGTAAACAAAAAGGTGGTAGGGAGAAAAAGGTCTAGATTCAGAAAATATTTAGCAGGGATGGACATGAACTAGTAACAAAAATCAAAAAGAATTCTTTTAAGACTTTGGATTACTGAAACATTCAAGAGAACATGTTACTTCCACACTTTCTCTCTTTCCACTCCACTACACTTTGTTGTGCCTACTGTTTCAAATTGGGAAAAATGTGGAGCCCTACTTAAAAAGAAAACCATAAGATGGCTACATTTCTATCAAAGTAGCTTTATTATTACCTGTGAGAAAACCTGAAGTGGAAAAAAATTGAGAGATATCAGAAAATCCTGAGCTGATGATCTCGTAAAAAATATAAAATGCTTTTAGCATCAAGACTTATCTCGCTATGACTGAAATGGAATAAAATTGGAACAGCTTCTTGACTGTAAGATCTTTCTGTAATTTGGTGACAAATAGTATCCAAATACAATGTATCAAGGCCATTGAAATATAAATAATATAACATTTCTGTTTAAAAAATTATTTAGATTTAATGAGCATAAAACAGATACCTTAAAATGCCAGTGTTTATTTTTATTTTCTGGAATTGTGTGTTCATACCACACTCGTTCATCATAGATTATATGCTAAGCAAGGTACAGTACTTGAAGTGGTTTTCTATGAAATTATGCTTGAAATGACCTAAATCTATTCATATCTCTTGAGAATTTATATATTTAATAATCATGAAAAGGCAGTATCACTGTGTGCTTCATTAGTCTCATATCTGTAGAAATATTTATTAGTAGAAAAAGTAACCATATGTTCATAATATTGGCAGATAATTCCACTCAAATTCACATATTTTTAATGCAGTTAACAGAAAACTCAACATACTTGAACAACACTATGTGGGTGATACGTTTGGATATAAGTTGGTAAAATGTGCCTGAATTGGTATGGACTTTTTTCTTTGTGTGTTTCGGGTGATCAGACTGCTTGCGTCTGACGGAAGACCATGATTCATTAAGAAATGGGGCAGAGGCAGTGCTGAGTCAGTACCCTGCCTGGAATGGAACCATTTATAATAGCTCATCACTATTAAAAACTATATAACATAAAATCAGCTTTTATCCTATTCTGTTTCTGAACATAGACTACCAGATCCAAGTTGGCAATTGCTACATTACATTGCAACCATACTATTATTAGTTGATACATGAATAACATAGCAGGGAACATGTTGCTCACCCTCTAGCTAAACACAATATAATAAAAATCTTAGTAAACTCTTCTCTGATCTTCTAAATAGAACACTTGTCACATGTTCCTTTGGTCATTTGTGAGGCATCTTGTATTATTCGTCTAAAATTCATGTAATTCTTCACATGTAGGGCTATTCAGTTAGCTGGACAATTTGTTATTCTACTGTTTGATCTTGTTTGTAACTTTAATAGCAATTTTTTTAAATGTGTAGATTTGTTTAAAATAACACTTTTTACCTTTTTCTTTAAAAACGTATGTAGAAAAAAAGCAACAGATGTTCTGTGATATCACTGCCACCATCATTTGTATCGTCATAATTTTAACTTATGAAAAGTTAAATATATATATATATAAATATATATATGATTAGGAAAAACAACAGAATTTATCAAAGTCTCTCTCCCGTAAAATAATTACTCATTACAATTTCTTAATATTTCTTTCATAGAAGTACATAAGCCTTTAAATATCTGTATATGATTTATGCATTCACTCTACGCTTAGGATTTTTATGTACCTGGTTTTTTTCTGATGCTAGAATTGTAATATTAAGCAAAACAGATTTGGGGGGAAAATGACTCATTAGCCCTCATGGGGCTTACATTCTTGTGGGGAGAAAAAGACTGTAAATAGAAAAATAATAGATTAAATGAGAATGTAGACGTATGCGTGTACATGCATGTGTGTGTCATATGGTGGTAAGTACTACAGAGAAAAGTAAAGCAGGGAAGGATGACTGGAAGTGCTTTTGCAAAAAAGGAAGATCTTACTGCAAAAATATTTGAGAAAAGACTTGAGGTGAGGGAAGGAACGCTGCAGATATCTGGGCAAAGAGAGTTCCAGGTAGAAAGAAGCACGTGCAAAGGCTCTGAGAAAAGACACACCCGGCGAGGATCCAGGAGCAAGGAGGCTCACAGGGCTGGGCTGGGGACACGTGTGTGGGCTTGAGGGGAGGAACAGTAGAGAATCACAGAGACAGACAATGGGAGCCACTAATAGATTTTGGTTTTTAATCTCTATAAGATGAGATGCTTTTAAAGGACTTTTTTCCTGAATGTGGACTATGGAAGGATTTTGAGGAGAGAGATGCTATGATCCCATGTATGTGTTTGGTGTGTTCTCAACATATCTTATTGTTAGGTTGTTAACAGACTAAGGAGAAAGGCAGAAAGGGCAGAACAGGGATGCTAGTTAGCAGCCTGCTGCAATAATCCAGGCAAGAGATGACGGCTCCTTGGACCAGGATGAGAGAGAAGGAAGTGGTCACAGTGGTTTTGCAGTCCCAACATATTTTGAAGGTAGTACTGCCAAAATTTGCTGATGGGATTGGGTATGAGATGAGAGACCAAGAAGAGCTAAAGATGACTCCAAAGTTTTTGGTCTGAGCAACTAGAAGTATGGAGTTGTAATTCATTAAGATGGGGAAGACTGATAGGAACAGGTGGTAAAGGTGCCATTCTGGACCTGTCTAGTTTCAGATGCCTATTAGATGTCCGATTGGAAAGGTCAGGTGAATAGGATAATACAAGAGTCCATGCTTTAGGTATTGGCTAGAGACAGGGATTTAGGAATTCTCAGCATATAGATGGTGTTTAGTCCACCTGACTGGGTAAGATCATGAAAGAAGTGATAGTGGGAAGAGGAAGATCAAGGCTTAAACATGGCCCACCTCAGCATTAAGAAGTCAGGATGCTGTGGGGAGAGCCAATGAAGTGGGAAGAAGTCACAAAAGTCTGTTTTTCAAGAAGCCAATTGGAAAATGCTGTCATTATATCAAAAAATGTGAAGATTGAATTGGATTAGCAATATTAGGTCATTGGTGGGTGGTGGGAGAGAAAATCTAAAGTAGGCTCAAGAGAAAAAGAGGAGAGAAATTGGGAATTTGAGAGCCCACTTAGAAGGAATTTTGCTATAAATAGGAATTAAAATGAAATGGTATCTATATGCAGAAGGAGAGGAGAACATTTTTCTTAAGAATGGTAATGGGTATATTTTGTATTTCTTAGGAATTTTTCAATTAATAGAGGAAAATTGGTGATGCAAGAAGGAAGAACTTCTGAGATTCTCCTAGGTACATGAAAGAGTTTCAGCCTAATGCAAAAGAGGAGGAATGAGCCATAGAAAAGAAATTGGTGTTCATAAGCACAAGTGTAGAAGGATGTGTCGATGAGGAGAGACATTGTGGAAGATCTCTTTAAGCTTACTTCTCCATTTTATTTTTTTATTTATTTTAAATTTCCGAATATTGCAGAGGTACAAATGTTTTGGTTATATGGATTGTTTTTGTACTGCTTGACTCAAAGTTATAAATGTACCCGTCACCCAGATAGTGTACGTTGTACCCATTAGGTGTGAATTTACTCATCCTCTTCTCCCCCCTCCCACCTGCAAGATTTCTGTTGAGTTTTACTTCCATCTGTACACATGAGTGCTGATCTATTATTAGTTCCAATTTACCAGTGAGTACATGTGGTATTTGTTTTTCCATTCTTATGATATTTCACTTAGGAGGATGGTCTCTAGTTCCATCCAGATTGTTGCAAAAAGTATTAATTCATTTTTTATGGCTCAGTAGTACTCCATGGTGTGTGTGTGTGTGTGTGTGTGTGTGTGTGTGTGTGTGTGTGTGTGTATACACCACATTTGATTAATCCATGCATGTATTGATGGGCACTTGGATTGATTCCACTTCTTTGCAATTGTGAATTATAG